CATTTCTTCCCGAGAACAAAAACGGCAGAATACTCACTAACGGGAAGGCCACGAAGAATTCTACCTCTTTGTACAAGACAACATGGCCGCATCCGGCAGGTTCCTCTCCTCCCCTAACCAGGTGGACACAATGCCAGCTCTTTCAAACGGAGCTCTCCGATGCTTTCACTTGTAGCCCCGGACAAAAGCTTTGTTATTTCCTTCTCGGACAAGTGCTCTCTCTGTGGGTAAAGAAATCCAGCCCCTTCCATTCCCCCCCCTCCCCTTTCCCCCACTTGCCGACGGAATGTCTCATCCGCTTATGAACATCATCTTTGTGATATTAAACAACATACCTTGGCACTTTCTGCTCGGCTCCTTTCCCTGGCCAGCCAGTTCCTCCTTCGTGCCAAGATGGGCTGCCCCGGCTCAGAAAGCAAGAGGGCCCCATCGGCAGCCTCTGGGGGCTTGTATTTTTTAAAGGAGAGGGGGATCACGCACGGAGGGGCCCCCCGCGTTATTAAAACATGGGCTGGGATTTAGCCGAGTCTAGCGGGCTCTCCGGCGGTTCACCCAGCCTGCTCTTAATCCCGTTCGGCTGCATATCTCGCTGCTATGGAGATATTCCATTTATTTACTAAAATGGAAGGAGAGGAGGCAAGAAAGATGTTGCGTTCTCTCGGGAGGCCTAGGAGCGACGGGGCAGATCTCAAAACGCAGAGGGAAGACGTCTCGAAGCACCGCGAATGCAGCAGAGGGAATGGGGAGTTATATGGGCTGGGGGAGGTTGCCGTCAAAGGGCTCCCGGGAAAACCTGGAACATCTCTGAGAAGAAGCGCCGACTGCGTTTCGTTCCAACGCTACTGGCCCCGCCTCAAAGATGGCGGCAAGGAGTCCCGAGACCAAGCAGAACCTTGTATGTCAGAGGCAGACCTAAGACGGCACCTGCCAGTTTGTGGGAGGAGCCAAGATGGCCATGACCATGTTGTGGAAGGAGTCAAGACGGCATCCTACCTCACTTCGTTTGAACTTGTGGTATGCCAAGTTCTGGGAACTTATGTGCAATGGACAAAATTGCAGATAGTTACGGGCATGTTTAGAAGCACAGGAAACCATGTTAACATAATGAATAAATGCTTTATGTGCAATGGACAAAATTGCAGATAGTGACGGGCATGTTTAGAAGCACAGGAAACCGTGTTAACATAATGAATAAATGGTTCCCATTTCTAGAGGCATCATTTCTACATAATTCAAGCCAGTTTAGTGTAGCGGTTAAGTGCGCGGACTCTAATCTGGGAGAGTTGGGTTTGATTCCCCACTCCTCCACTTGCACCTGATGGATGACCTTGGGCAAGCCACAGTTCTGATAAGAGCTGTTCTTGAAAAAGAGCAGTTTCTGTCAGAGCTCCCTCAGCCCCACCTACCTCACAGGGTGTCTGTTGTGGGGAGGGGAAGGGAGAGGAGTTTTTAAAGTCGCTCTGAGACTCCAAGTGAAGGGCGGGGTATAAATCCTCTCCTCCTCCTAATTCGACATTGAGATCCCAAATTCCACAACGTTTTTACGAAACAGTGAATTATACGTAACAATATATATAGTTTTAAGAACAGTCCGGAAGATCTCTACGGTGTAACACCAATCTATACTACTGTTATTGTATGGAACCTTTTGAATTTTGAGCTGCTAAGCCTAGTGATTTTTCTCACACGAGTCGTTACGTGTTCTTCATGACCGATATTGATTTTGTTGCTATGTTATAGGTTGGAATGGTGGTTGTTATATGAAAATGTAATAAAAATATATTTTTTAAGGAAAGATGGCAGCTGCTAGGTTGTGGGAGGAGTCCCACGGGCAGGTACACTTTGTATGGAATCAGATAAGATTGTGCTGTAGAGCACACCGGAAGACTTATGAAGCGACAGCAATGGTGGCAAGGAAATATTATTATTCTGGTACTAGAGCATCACTAGGAGGTAGCTCGGCAACCGACGACGACAAAATCTGAGCCTTTGTTGTCTCGGGAAGAGAAAACTAGCTGTGATACTTTTGCCGAGTTTTTTGCTAAAAAAGGATGGAGAATACGCCTTGTTCTGGATATCAGTTGTAACAGAGGGACACCAGAAAAAGGGCATAATACACTGCCTGGTCTATTTAGAAGAAGAGGAAGAGATTGGATTTATACCCCACCCTTCACTACCCAAAGGTGTCCTTTCCCTTCCCCTCCCCACAACAGACACCCTGTGAGGTAGGCGGGGCTGAAAGAGCTCTGACAGAAACGGCTCTTTTTCAAGAACAGCTCTTATCAGAACTACGGCTTGCCCAAGGTCATCCAGCCAGGTGCAAGTGGAGGAGTGGGGAATCGAACCCGGTTCTCCCAGATCAGAGTCCGCGCACTTAACCACTACACCAAACTGGCTCCGTTTTGACTCAGAAGGAAGCTCAGGACACCTCCCGCTCTCCTAGCTTTCTGCAAGCTATGCAAAAAGTGAATTATTCAAGGGGGCTTTTCTACGCCAGCAGCAGAGTTGTACAAAATGATTCACAAAGTTACCTGGATAAATCATTAGGGACTGCGGCCTCTGCTGCTGTGTTCAGGTTGCTGAAACTAGGACCCTACTGTGTAATTTTTGGCATAAGAACATAGGAGAAGCCATGTTGGATCAGGCCAGTGGCCCCTCCAGTCTAACACTCGGTGTCACCCAGTGGCCAAAACCCAGATGCCATTAGGAGGTCCACCAGTGGCGCCAGAACTCCAGATGCCCTCCCCACTGTGACCCCCCTCCAAGCACCAAGAAGAAGAGCATCACTGCCGTAGACATAAGAACATAGGAGAAGCCGTGTTGGATCAGGCCAATGGCCCCTCCAGTCCAACACTCTGTGTCACACAGTGGCCAAAACTCAGGTGCCATCAGGAGGTCCACCAGCAGGGCCAGAACTCCAGAAGCCCTCCCACAGCTTCTCCCCAAGCACCAAGGATACCGAGCATCACTGCCCCAGAAAAAAGAACATCAGAGAAGCCATGTTGGATCAGGCCAATGGCCCATCCAGTCCAACACTCTGGGTGCATTCAGATGCGGCGTTTCAGCTGGCATAAACTGTACCGGTTGGAACCGGTGCAGTTTATGCCGGCTGAAACGCAATCACACTCACCTCCATTTTGCGGATCCCATCGCTGTATGCCCGCTCACACGCTGCGGGCGTCGGCTTAAAAAAAAACACCTTAGTTTGAGCATGCGCATAGGCAGCCATCCACAGAATGGCGATCCTTGCGCATGCTCAAAACACCCCGTATTACATTTAAACTTTAAAGGTAAGTCCTTACCTTTAAAGTTTAAAGACCAAACTGGCCTCCCTTAAGTCCCGGACTCCTCCGATACGCTACACTAAGGGCTTTTTTTTTTTTAAACAAACGCTCAGGGCGAAGCTTCGCCCAAGCGCATATCGCTTAGTTTAAAAAAAAAAATGGCGGGGGAAAATCGGAAGCCTCAGGCTTCCGAACGGAAGTGGCTAGGCACCGATGGAGAGCGATCAGACGGCGGGGTTAAGCGAATGCAACCGTTGCACTCAGGATACCACCACTTGGGGACCTAGTGGCAGGGTACAACGGTTTAAAGGGACGGGAGGCAGATGTTCGCCGTGTGAACGCTGGTAAGTACACCGGTTGGAACCGGCACCTATACCGTTGTAAAGCCCCCGTCTGAACGCACCCACAGTGTCCCACAGTGGCCAAAACCCAGGTGCCATCAGGAGGTCCATCAAGTGGGGCCACAACTCCAGAAGCCCTCCCATTGTAGCCCCTGAGCACCAAGAAGACAGAGCATCACTGCCCCAGGCAGAGTGTTCCCGCTATACCTTGTGGCTAACAGCCACTGATGGACCTCTGCTCTGTACGTTTATCCAGTCATTGCATCATTTCACGTGTCACGTTAATGCTTCTGCTTTGCTTCCGTTCTGTTTTTAAGACTGCAGACGGGCTCTTCAGCTCTAATGCTCTTGCACTGTGCACTGAATGTCCCACCCGTCAATTGTATTGACTCCCTCCGTGTAATCCGCCTTGAGCCCAAGTGAGCTATAAATAATGTAAAGAAATAAATATGTTTTGCTGCTGCGGTAGGTCTGAATTACTTGAGAACGCCTGGTTTACCGGCCGGCGGGTAACGATTTGGTCAGGAGTCATTTCCTGCAGGAGCGCACAGGAGCAGAGCTCCGGCAGTAAAGAGCCCAGGGGGCGGGCACATGCAACAAGCCCCACCCCCTGCTCTCAGCAGCCCTCAGTCAGACCAAGTTTTATTCAGGTACAAACTCTCCCTCCTCTGCGAGGACAGATCTGCACGTTCCCCCCTCCCCCAATAGCTAGCAATCCAAAACAGTCCAGTTGAGCCTGAGCGGTGGGTGTTCCCTTCTGACACACTTCCGGTGATGTCAAGGGGTGGTGCATATGAAAATAAGTTATGCTAATGCGTTATGCTAATGAATTATGTTAATGAGCTCCTGCACCTCTTTTTCTATGAAATGACCCCTGATCTCGGTGGATTCAGTAGCCATATTCAGCCATATTCAGGTTTTAGGATACAGGAGGACGGGGAGAGACACAGGCTCATCATTCACTGTATGCTCGGGGGTCACATAACTAGTTAGCATGCCAGAGTTAGCACGGCCGTTCTTAGTTGGTGGAGAGATTTCGATAACGAACGAGACTCCAGCATGCTAACTGGTTACGTGACCCCCCCGAGTGTACCGTGAATAAAACATTGTTGGTCTTCGAGGTGCCACTGGACTCGTACTTTTCCCTACTTCTTCAGACCAACACGGTGACCCTACCTGAATCTACTATCTTCAACGACACATCACGGGAAGGTTAAAATCACATCACTCACTGGGGTGACCTTGGGTCCAACCTACCTCACAGGGCTGTTAAGAGGGCCAGAGTGGAGGAGGGAAGACCCATGGGTGCTGCTCTTAGCAATGTGGATGCAGGGTGGAATAAAACTTAGAAGTCGACCGACGTGCATTTCTTTACCTGCTTGTGTTTTCGTCATCGTCCGAGTCGATGAAGCTGCTGGACTCCAACTCGCTGCTCATCATCGTCGACGAACTGTCATAGCCCGGCGGGTGTTCCCGATGTCTGTCGAGCTTGGGGTGCCCATTGATGCGGGAGACTGCGGGGAAGAAGGCAGCATTAGTCGGCGGTTGGGATGAAACTGGCAATAAGGTCTGAAGTGTGCCGTCTGTCCAACACGCGTCCGGAGTGAAGGAAAAACAATTCTGCCCTTACTCGGAATTGGCTTTGTAATGTTATCTCGTAGCCTGAATTGATTGGCTAGGTCCCTCAACATTATTGTACTTTTCCTGAGATCCCTGATTGTCTGGGATCGTTCAGGGGAACAGCATAGCCAGACAGGGACACAGCAGTAGTAGCTGCAGAGAGGGAGAGATAGGCCCGTAGTCAGGATTTTGTGGCTTGTGGGGCAATTTTTTTTCTAGCAGAGCTGCCATTATTTTTCTGTCTGTGTCTCAACAACTGTACTTTTAAATAATAATAAAGACAGTAATACTAATAATTAAATTAAATGCAGCACAAACGCCCCCTCACAACAGCCACCCCAGACATAAATGAAATGCAAAAACGCCCCCCATTCTCCCCTTCCCTAAAGCAATGAAATCCATTACCATTTTCAGAAGGAAATCTTGTGGGGCTGGCCCTTTAAGGAAGGGGGCAGAGCCCCCAATAGCCCCACTGTGGCTATGGGCCAGGGGAGAGACAGCTATTACAAACGGGGGGGGGAGATAAAAGAAACTAATATGCAGAAAAAGCAAATAGGATGTGAAGCCCACACCATTCTGAATTCCACTTCATCCTGAAACTTTTATGGGCTAATGTTTGCCACGACCCTACAGGCCACTGTGGTCGGGCTAACCAAAAGCAGGCCAGAGACTGCATTACCAACATTCTCGATGAACAATCGGTCCAACCCAAAGCTAGCACATTACGTGTGGCATATTATGGACAACCGTCACTTGCTTGGCCAGTCAGGCAAAGGTGGCCTAGAAAGTTGATTAAAAGGCTAGATGGCCATCTAACAGCAGTGCTGATTCTGTGAACTTCGGCAGAACAGGAGAGGGAGGGTGGGAAGGGTTGCCTCCGCGCTTAGTT